TCTCTCTGTCTCTCTGTCTCTGTCTCTCTCTCTCTCTCTCTCTCTCTCTGTGTGTGTGTGTGTGTGTGTGTGTGTGTGTGTGTGTGTGTGTCTGTGTGTGTGTGTGTAAGATAGAGACACAGAGAGAATGGGAATTTAGGGTGACACTCGTGACATGGCACTTGTGGGAGTTGCTTCTCTCCTTCTACCATGTAGACCTGGGCAAGGTCATCGGGCTTGGGGGCAAGTGCCTTTACCCCACTGAGCCATCTTGCTAGCCCCTGGGAGTATGAAATTAGGTCTGTTTGTTGCTGGTCTTCTCTCTAGAGTGTAAGCCTCAAGAGGGCAGCACCTGCACAGTCCTGAGCACCTTAGTAGAAGGCCTGTATTCTTTAGACTTGAATATGTTGGCAGAGCGGGTCATGTTTCTTGAAGAGACTTTCTCATTAGATGCTTCCTAAATCATTTGTCATGTTCCTATCTGCTTATTTTGGCAATCCTTTTTGGTGGCTAAAGTCTTAGAGTAGTTTTCTAATGTTGTTTCTTGTCTCTAAGAGATGCTAATAGAGTATCACCAGAATTCCAAACAGATGTGTGGGCTCTGTAGGGAGACAGCAGAGTTAACTTCTTACCTTCAGAAAAAAATCACATTGGGGACCTGACCTTGGTGACTGTGACAGGATGAGGGTTAGGGGTTAGTCCATGTCCTTGGAACTATGCTAGCTTCTGGGACAAATACCAGAAGCAACCCAAAGGAGGATGCTAGAGGGTTCTAGGTAGCTTGTTTCCCCTTGTCTTTCTATCAATTAGATCTGTCCTTAGACAGAAGTACATATCCAGAGGAGAGCTGTGAGTTAGCATGAGCCTTAGTCAGGACTCTAAAGGTTTGCTTTCTGGGACACCCCAGTAGACAGAGTCGGGGAGCAGACAACTTACTTACCTCTAGTTGAAAGTGCCCATTGGAATCTTGTCAACAATCCTCTAGGATTCCTTGAATTTCTTCACCATTGGGTATGTGAGGGTGGGAAGGACCACAAAAGAAGGTGGACTCTAGTAACAAAGATGGGCTGCAACAAGGGACAAGAAGGGGAAATAAGATACCCCATGGAGGTTCTGTCACTGGTTTTCCCAGTTTCTGATAAGGTTTAAACAGGAACCGGAGCCCTAGTAAAGTATCTCAGGAGGGTAGACATTTGTTGGCAACGGGAGGGTTATACAGTGTCTGATGGGGGTTATACAGTGGTAGGGGTTGTACATGTGGTGTTTATGATTATTGAAGTCAGTAATGAAGAAGGACTAGGAGTTGAAATAAATGTAACAGAAAATCTAAAAGTGGAACCTGGAGGAAATTCTGAGTCCACATCATTGTTTCAGTATTACTTGGGCACCAAGGAAGCTATGGCAAACACCATCAAATAGAGGAAGCCAATTATGAAATACAAGGAAATCTCCATGGGCATTACCCTGATTCGGAGAAAGTGGGCTGCAATCCAATGGATATGAGTTTAACTTTCCAGTTGTGCTCTGCACGACACATCCCATTTTTCACAATTTTGTACCTCACACATTTCCACTATTCTCAGCCTGCCTTTCAAGGTTCACCTCGATGTCGCCACTTCTGAGGCTTTTTTCAGGACTCTCAGTTGGACTTCACCCCTTTCTTCTCTGAGTTCCTGTCACCATTGGTTTATAATTGTGTTCCTACATATCACTCAAAACACAAAACAAAACAATAAATATCTGCCTATCACACACAAGCAAATGTGAATTCTCAAAGGTAGGACTTTTATTTCCGGCTGTGTTGTTGACTCAGATCTGTTCTGAGGATGGAAGGACTGAGGTGTCCACTCCTGCACCTCCTCCTACAGTGCCTGCTGTCTATAATACCAGCCACTTTTTCCCTAGCTGGAATTGTCTCTGGGCTAATCAGATGAACGGGTTATGCAGTAGGCTCACCTGACTCTTCTTGCCCTGCCGTTCTGGGCAGTGACCCGCTCTATGCTGGTACACGGTGCTCCTGGCTAGGCGTACTTACAGCAGGAGACACTATTTACTTTGCTTCGTTCCAACTCCAGCATTCTCGCTTTGATCTCTGTGGCCCGCCCCACCTCGCCCCTACCATTGTCCTGTCCTGGGAGCTAATGTTGCTCCTTTCCTAACTCAGGTGGCCACATAACTTTCTTCTCTGGCTGAGAGGATGCCCAGGGACTCAATCATGCTGGAGACTTACTGCTACCCCTAAGGGCTCCAGTCTGCACCATTTGCTGCTTCTTCCTCCCACATTCAGTTGCTTCTTTTTTATCTCTTTTGTTTTCTTGTCACCTTAGTGATAACAGATGAACTATGATGTAAGAGATTGTGAATTTTGATCCTGATAAAGGCTGGATTTCCATGTTGACTAAATCTGCCATTCAGAGAAGTAAACAAGTAATGGTTTTATGGTTATATCCTGAAGACAGACTGCTTAGAACTTAACTCTGTTCTCCTGCTTACTAGTTGTGGCTAGCTATCTCAGTCAAATGGGGTCATACTAATGCCTACCCTGTTTATTCATTCACAAATAGTTGAGCCCCCAGCAGGTGACAGAAAAGTGGCAATAGAGAAGATAAAAAAATGGGTTAATATTTAAAATACACACTGTATGCATTTAGTAAACGCAATAGTATTGCTAGTGCCTTTCTAAGACTAGATATGTGAACAGGATAGCCATTGGCACTACAGGACCAGATCTCTCTGAGAAGGGGAGAATAGAGGAGAGACCAAGATTAGGTTCTAGACTTGGATTTAGGTCCAGGGTAGCCATGGCTTGAATGGCTTTTACTTCTAGCACTTCATGAGCTGGATAAAGATCAGCCTAGAAAATGAGTCTGTTTCCTTTCATATAAAGGGCAGGAGTCAATGACCCTGGGCTGTCTGTATTCTGCCAAGCCTATTTGTGCAGACTGTGCTGTACCTTCTCAGTTGTATGTGAATGACCCAAGAGGAGATACAGTTCTTGAGCAAAGAACCCAGACACTGAAGAAAGGAGAGCGTCTTTTGGTCTCTTTGCTGCAGGGTCTGCTGCCCATCTAGCAGAGGGCTATATTTTGGGAGTGGTGGCTTAAAGGTTAGAGAGTTACACCTAGTAAAGAGAGGTTGAGTAGAGGCACCGTGGCCTGCTGCTTTGCCTTCAGTTTCAGGTCACTCCTCAGGGAGTGTAGCTGAAGATGGCTCATGTGATAACTCTCTGGGATTGCTGCTGGAGGCAAAGTTTAGACTCTAGGCTTCCTGATTCATTGTCTGTGGTTTCCAGTGAAAGTCCAAGCCTTATTGAAACCTGGGTTATATTGCAATAAAATGAAAGAAAGTCCAAGTCTGGAGTAATCTTCATGGAGGTGAGGTTGGTATAAGATGGATGTTTTTAGCCCCAATGCATCCACAGATTCTTCAGCCTCTATCCCATCAAGGAGGTTAACTAGAACTCCAGGGATCCAGCAGCCACCCCACTGGGTCCCACAGTTTTCTGTTTTGTTCTTTCCCCATAGTGACCTTCGGAAATGATGTCAGGCTGGGGTGTAGCATCAGTGGTAGAGCATCCTCCTAGCATGTGTGAAGCCTTGGGTTCGATGCCCAGCACCATAGAGAACGAAGTTCTTATAGCACAGGAAAGGTGTTTGACATGAGCTATTGAGTGCAGGCTGAGGATTTTAGGGTTGACTCTCATGTAGGCTTCTAGCCTAACTACTCTCCTGGACCTGCCAAATGTGACTGGGAACCATCATTGTTGACATGCCTAGGGACAGACAAAGTACTTTCTGGACTCAATTCCAGGGCTCTGAAGTACAGCAGATTTGGGACCACCAGACACCATACTCTCATTACACTGTTACTGCATTTAGTTCGGTCTTCAGCCATTCTTTCAGTTCAGTTCAGCTGAAAAGAGAGTTAGGCAAAGCGCATTGCTGCGAATGAAAGTCTACCATTCGTCTCATGGTAAAGGTAATGTAACTAAAGCAGTTTCTCAACTTTCATATCATTATCATCTCCTTAAGGAATCTTCAACTTTTCCTAATCACCCCTCTCAGGAAATTATGCTTCCACAGATATACCAAAAGTCTGTTTCTAGAGCCTGTAAGATGGCTCAGTAGATAAAGGCGCTGACTGTGAAATCTTCTGACCTGAGTTCCATCCCAGAACCATGTGATGGAAGAAGAGAACCACTTCCCACAGGTTGTCTTCTAACCTCTGCATGTGTTTGCATATATGTGTAAATAAATTAATGCAAAGATAATATCTAATGCACTGTATGTGTCTTTATGTTAATGTACTATATAAGAGGAACTTTTTTCACTCCTCAAAACACTTCTCACCCCCTTGGGAGAAGTATCACTCCACTGAGAGGTATGTGGGGTGTAGCAAGCACAATTGGATTACAGGTCCAGCGCAGAGATGTCAGGTGGGTCTCCAAAGCTCTGTCACTGTACTTTCCAACACTAACATCATGCCACCATAATTTCTTCTTGTTTCTCAGTCTGTTGTCCCTGTTTTGCTCCCTTCCCGAATCTGTATTTCACTCTTTTTCTCATCCTACTGTAGAAGTTCAGGAGGAAACTTAGTTAAGGCAGCAAGCCATCCCGCTCAATGTTTAGGACGGCCAATTTCTTTTGTGTATGGAGGTGCTGCTGGGAATTGAACCCAGGGGCTTGTGTGTGCTAGGCAATGTACCCCCAGCCCAAAAAGATAGTTTCCTAAAACACCCCACCACCACCAAGAGGTCATCTCTTAAGAAGAAAGAGGCAAGAGACCCGAGCAGGATTTACAGAAAAGCCCAGCTGACTTCATGACAAGTGACCTTTCAGAGGAGAGGGTCTGTCACAAGAAGCTTCTGTGCCAGCAGACCAGCAGGCTTTCAAATGGAAGCCCTATATCAGATCATACTTCTTCATGCATATTTGTTTGGGGTTAATGGCAGTTCTGTCACTGGGATATGCCCTTCTTTTCTCTAGCCAAGCAGACCAATGACAGTGTCACCTTTCCTCTAGAAATTGCCGGAGGCATGCACTGTTGGTGATGGAAGACCATTTGCCATGAATCTGCAGAGTCTGTATGTAGCAGTCACCAAACAGCAGATCCAAGCAGGACAGAAGCATCAAGGCTCTGGTGAGTATTTCTAGTCACAGCTGATCTGTTTGGGGTAAAGTTAGAGCTTAAGTCTGCGCTGTTGGATTTAGCAGTTCTACCCATATAATCTATTTACATTTCAATTAATAAAAACTAAGTAAAATTAAAAATTCATTTCCTTTGATGTGGTGGACTTTGGGGAACCCCTTTTGAGGGCCTTACCCTGCCTGGGGAGTGGAGGGGGGATGGCTAGGGAGAGGTGGGATGTTGGGGGGAGGGGAGGGAGAGGGAGAAGGGATTGACATCTGAAGCAAGCTTGTTCCTAATTTGAACTAATAAAATAAAATTAAAATTAAAAAATTCATTTCCTTGTGTACTTTAGCCATATTTCAAGTACTCAGTAGCCATGTGGCCATTGCAGATACAGAGCACATACCTCACCACAGAACATTCTCATAGCTAGCCAGCTCTGGTTTTTAGGAGTTAGCAAGAGAACTAACCAGAAAATTAATCCAAGGGATGCATAGAAATTTGTTCACCTCTTGTGAACAAAACTCAACCTACGTGCTGAAAGTGGGTTTTGGAGTCTTCGTAGGAACAGAGCTTGCTCTGGAAGCTGGCTGCTTCAATCTGTTAATATGTTAATAGCAAACTCTGCCCTTCGTCCGAATGCTCTGTGAGTGCGTCTGTCCTCCTGCGAGCAGGCATTTCTCTGCCTTCCGTTGATCTTTCTGATTTCAGGGGAGACTCAGACATCATGCAGCACTTCCCCTCGAGGAACTGATAGCCAGCTTCTGGACCAGCCAGAACAGCCAGTCTCTTCTACTCCAGCCCTCTCAGAGCCTGAACATGAGCCCATGGTGAGTCACACATGAGCAGCTTCCTGGGCAGCTATCTGAACACTAGAGGAATTGGCACCTGTAACCTCGAAGCCATGGTCTCTGCAGTTGCTGCCCTGTTGACACAGCCTTGATGGTATGAGAGGGATTGTGAGCTGCTGCCGAATTGTAGAGCACGGTGCTTTCCCACACCTCCCTTGCCATCTCCTGCAGTTCTTGGGCTGAATGGTGAGCCGTGACTCCCTTTGCACCTTACTCTATTTCCGGTGATGGCCCAAGAGAGACATGCCCACTTAGAATTTCTTTTTCAAGACAGGGTTTCTCTGTATTTTTCTGTAGACCAGGCTGGCCTCGAACTCACAGAGAGTCACCTGCCTCTGCCTCCCAAGTGCTGGGATTAAAAGCATGCACCACCAATGCCCGACCCACTTAGAATTTTATAGCACTTCCTAAAACAGACCTCAAAACATCTACATCAGATACTTTAAGAAGGGCTTTATACCAACCAGGAGCCAACAGAGATCTGTTTTAAGACTGCAATTAACTGGGATTCCCTTTCCTCTAGGGTGCTTCAGGCCCTATGCAGAGACCTCAGCTGGCAAAGGCCAAGAGGAAGAAGCCAAGAGGACTCTTCAGTTAACTGACCATGTCTCCGCCACTGAGAAGGGAGCAGAACAGCTTCCCAATATCATCTGGAAAGGAGCTGGCACGTCAGAACACCCTCTGATGGAGCTGCAGTCAGAGGCCCAAGTTTATGTTGACAGGCCACCTGAATGGGATCTTCTTCTCTGGCAGAAGCTTGGCTCTGGCTCCAACTCACTGACATTGGCATTCCATATATGAGTGAAGCCAGCTCCTCATTCAATGGTGTTCTTTCTGTAGAACTAGTACCCTATGGTGAACTTAGCTAAAGCAAGTCTGCAAAGAGGCGCATGCCCAAGACACCTGTCTGCTTTTCACAAGGGTCCCTCACAGTCCCACAGGCCCCTTAGAAAGCCACTTCTCTCCTAACACAGAATAAAGGGCACTCGCACTGCCCTGCTGTTGAGGTGGCCTGCTTGTGGTCTGTAACCTCTTTGCACCCACAGTCCCTGGTTATATCCGGGTCATATTGAGCTGTCATTCTCTTCCTACAGATTTTCTGTCAGCTTCTCTAATGTGGCCCGAGGTCAGTCACAATTAAAACCGTGATCTTGAGAACTCTCTATGGTGGCACAAGACAGATGTTCTCTGTCAAGCTTGGGTGTGTTTTTTGTGTCTCCTTTCTAAAGTATAGAGAACAGGTTAAACCATAGTGTTAGGTACAAATTACAAATGGCTTCAAGTACTAGGGCTAAAGCCAGGTCCCAGGGGTGGGAGAAAAGGGAATTTGACACCCCCCATGTGTGTGTGGTCTTTGTCTTTCTACAGCCCCACCCCCCAGCCCAAGACAGGGTCTCACTGTGCAACCCTAATGGCCTGGAACTCACTATGTAGACCAGGCTGTCCTATGAATTGAGAGATCTGCCTTCCAAGTGCTGGGATTAAAGGCATGTGCTGGCTTGAACAATGTACAGGGGGATGGCCTTGAACTTCTGGTCCTTCTGCCTACATTTGAGTGCTAGGATTACAAGCGTGTGCGCCACTATACCTGGTTTATGCAGTGCTGGAGATCAAGTCCAGAGCTTCCTGTGTGCTAGGCAAGCACTCTACCCAGTAGGCTACACCTTTAAATTTGACTTCTCTTTCTTCACTTTAAATAATGTATAGCTATGATGCTAGGGGACAGGAGCCCCAGGAGTCCCCTAGAACAGAACTGGTATCTAACAGTGTCTAGTAGGAAGCTGTATTAAGGCTAGGATGGCCCTAGAAAATTGCTGTGACTTCAAGGCCAGCTTGGGCCACAGAGTAAGATCTTGTCTGAGAATAAGAAAAGGCTGTGTGAGACAGGAAGAACCCAAAAGTCACTCTCGGGTACCCAGGCTTATCTGCACAGCACCTTGACCTTCTCTACCGTGTGTTCGTCTATAGTTAGACAATCTGAAACTTGAACTAGGGTTGACAGCAGTGGAAAGTGAACTCAGATGTTCACTGGGAACACTTAGGTAGAGGGAGAAAGGCAGATGCAGAAGCCATTTTGGTTTGCTTGCTTTGGAGGGCTTCCTCATCCGTGTCTCCTCCCTCTCTCCCTGAAACTGATGTCTCTGCCTAGATGTTAGTTCATGGAGACAGGATCATACAAGCCATGCTAACATACTAATTATTACAACAGTTAGAACAAAAGTAATAAATGGCTAGTCTTTATTGAGCAGTCCATGTACCCAGTAGTCTGTCCAAATGAACGAGCATCTCACAGCACCACCTGAAAATGATAACAGGAACCCATTTAGGAAACCTAGTCTTGAAATGATTGTCATATTAAAGGTCATGCAGCTAGTGACAGGCAGAATTAGTAAAACCTCAGCTAGTCACAGCTTATTAGATACTTGACTGAAAATATTTCCAGGAAGATTTTGCTTCCTCTCTCAGTCTTCCACAGCTTATACCTCTATCCTGACCCTGCCTTCAAGCAGGCTGCTCTCCATGCAGACTCGCCAAGGCAGGAGCCCCTGATGATGCTAGGACTTTCTGCTGGCTGTACATGCTCCTGCTGTTCTTCACTTTACCTTTGGGCCACACCACGGGTGTCACCACAGTGAAGCTCTGTGTCCTACACAGGCGAATCCTTCTGCCCAAGTGGCAGTCTCAAGCAGGCATTCTTAATCATGAATCCCCTAAAACTGCAAGGAAAATGCCCCAAACATAACTTTGTTCATCTTCTCATGAGACTGTGGGACCCTGTCAGAAGAATATGCCTAGTCACCTTCCAGGCCACTGTGCCTGTGTTTCTAAAGGCTGCTTGCCTTGGGGGCATTGCTCAAATGTGTTGTTAGGGAAGCATTACTGCCAGAGGCCCTGGCTCAGGCATCACAGAAGCCCATACCCCCCGAGCTAGGGTGGTGTTTGAAAATCATTCATCCCAGGGCAACTCAAGGGAAATCCCTGCTTTGACAAATTGGCCTAACCAGGCTCTATTCCAGCCTTGCCCCCTGGCTTGGGCCCCTCCCTGAGGCCCCCAGCCTGACCCAACCCCCACTCTCCATGCACATAAAAGGGTCGAATTCTCGTGGCTGCTCCATAAATTTTATTCCGTAAATATTAGTTTTCCCTGTGTTTAATAAAGCAGTGGCCCACCTCCCCGCCTACCCGCCCGCTCCCCGGGGCCGGGGCTGGGGCCAGGGCTGGCTGGTGGGAGAAGGGACTCTTTCAATTGCTTTGGAGTATTTTTAGAAAAAAAATAATATAAGGTGGTTTACACGAGCAAGCCAGCAAGCCAGGAGCAGGGCTTGGGACCTCTAGGAAGTTCCTGCAGCTACTGGACTTAAAAAGTAGGGGAACAGCGCCACCTAGGTCGCGAGGCCTACTTGGCCTTACTGGTTGATTCCCCGGAGTCAGCGAGGGACCAACCAGCTAGCACAGGTCACTCCTTGCTGAAGGATATGTCCTCTCTGTACTCCAACTGGGTGGTACCCCTTTACCTGGCATCTCATGGGGTTTCTCAGCGGTCCTTCCAAGCAGTTCCCAAGCTGGGTCCTGGAAAATCCCACCAGCATCATTCCTTTTTCTTGACACCAGGAGTCAGCCTCCTGATCCAGGAGTGTTTCCAGGGTAGAGTGAAGTAACTGAGAAGGAGGGAGCCACCTTGTCTTCATCTTCCCTAGAATTCCTTGATCCCAAGGTGACGAGAGAGATCTGTGCTTCCATGCTCCAGACTGGCAGAGTTCAGCCTGGCTAGAACAAGATCTTTGCAGGAGGGCTGCAGGGCTCATCCCGGGGCTTTGGGAAAGGACACTCCTTGTTCATTTAAACCTCCCCTCATCTCCCAGGCTCTTATGGTTCCATCAGGAGAGTCACAGGCCCCTATGCATGTTGCAAAAATGGCATTGGGGATGGGAGGTGCAAGGAATTGTATCTCTCCTCCTACCTAGTGCTGGATCCCTTCTCCATCATTCCCAATGTGCCTGATGTTGCCAGGGACAATATTCCTTCTCTCCCCTTACCTTGTCTTTTCTTTTCTCCTACTCTCAAAACTATCAAGGTTTGCTCCACAGAGTTTAGGGGGACCCTAACTCTAATGTCTTTGTCCTGATGTGAGCTAACCTCTGCTAACCCCATCACCACTGTATTATTAATGTAACCTAGGTCAACAGACACTTTCCTAGTGTGCTTTGTTTTCCTCTTTTCATGTGACAAGAGATTTTTACTCTAACTGGAAAATGTCACTGTGCTGATACTATAGTAAGTACTAAAGGTCTAACCATGGTGACAGTCTTTTAAGCAATCAGAATGTATTTTTCTAAGTTCTTCTCTGAGTAATTTGTCTTCTGTAATATTCTTAGGGGTGGGAGGAACCTGTTCAAAAGGAGTAAGTGACATACTGCAAGGAAGCCATCAACCATGGTTACTAGTCCCTGTTACCTGGAAAAGTTAGAACAGATTATACTAGGCCCTTAGGTACAGGAGAAAACTCAGGCAAGGAGGAAGTTGCTTTTGTGGAGTGGTCCCTCGTTGATGACCCCAAGAACTATATGATACTTAAACCCAAGTTTCTTTGTTGCTCTTGGTCCCTTCCTTGGTCCACTGCCCTGGGCCTCAGAAGATACCCGTTGAGGGAAAACATTAAGAGGAGGGGGTGTGAGGCAGCTTGTCTGTGTATGAGGGATGGGGAACCCAGGGAATCCTGGAGAAGCTCCAGTCACCACCTTCTCTTTAATCTCAGAGCGCTTTAAGGAAGAACTTCACACAGAGATACTGTCTTTATGGCAGTCCTTCATGTGTACTCCCAATTCTGTGGTTTCCACCTCTCCACCCTGGGACATGGGATGTCAGTATATGGTACCAAAGCACTTCCCAAAATGCTTACTCCCTTTCCTGGGCTGGTAAGAACCACACTCCCAGTTTTTCTGTCTGCATCCAAACAACTTTGGTGGCTTTCCACAACCTTGGACCCCCACGAATGAGTGCTGGCCTCTGGGAAGCCGACTCTCATGGACTTCTGAGAATCAGACCAACCTACTAGGGGAACCCGGAAGAGGCACTGAAAGAACTCCAGGGTGTGGGGAGCACACAGCCATTGACTCACCTGGGAAGATTGTGCCAGGATTACTTGTCCCCTGGGCCAAGGGCCAGTAGTTAAAGGCGCATGCAGTACCACTCTACCTCCTTGAACTTTGGGGCCCCAAACAGTGACAGAGCTGGGGACCTGGGGACTTCTAGGAGTCTCTTCTGAAATCTGGGTGTTATATTTACTTTTTCATGTTGGAAGCTGCCAGGGGAAGCCCATCCCAGCTCAGCATTGTTGTCTAACATGGTTAATCAGATCCTATAATCCTGCTGTGGAAATATTGGGCCTCACTCAAAACAATAGAGACCAAGAATATTGTGGTTAAATTTCAACCAACTGCCTCCCTGGCCTGTTTGCCTAACCCCTACCCCCCTCTCTCGGGCCAGAGTCCTCCCAGCTTTATGGACCCCTGATAGGATCGACAGCCTGGTCAGAAATAGGTGACAGGAGAGAGGAGAATGCAGTAAGAGAGAGACAGTCCTCTTGACTGCCATTCCATCCTTCTTTCCCTCCCTCCCCAGGCCTTGAATGGTGACCAGAAGTGATAAGAGGTGTCAAGACCAGTACTGCTTGGAATCATAGGTAGTAAAGAAATTCTATATTCAAGACATGAGCAGGAAAGACTTCTGATCTCATCATTGCCATCTGATGCCCCCAGGGCACAGAACAGTACCAGCTGATCTTTCACCACTCATGGGAGGAATGAGAAGACACTGCTTGGGAAGGTTGATAACCCAATAGGACAGCAGACTTAGTGGCAATATCCCGAAGATCTGTGGAGTGATGCTAATGACAGCTTGAGTGGTTTTATGGTGGTGGCTAGCTCCATTGTGTCACCAACTTCGATAGCTGTGAATTAAATGTAGCAAGATAATTTAAATAATTATAATATCAAGCCAAAAGAATAAATCTCAGAGGAGGAGGAGAATGACGACGACAACAATGAAGAAGAAGAAGAAGAAGAAGAAGAAGAAGAAGAAGAAGAAGGAAAGAGAGAGAGAGAGAGAGAGAGAGAGAGAGAGAGAGAAAGAAGGAAGAAGAGTGAGTTAAAGATACAGTGTCTGGATTATGATCTGTTCATCAAGAGACAGAGAAAGTTCCCTTTGCAGACTCTGAGCTTCTCTAGGTTTACACCCCAGATATACAGGCCACAGGTTGCAGCCACACTGCCTTTGGAGGTGTCACCAGTCAGTGACGTGAGTTACAGTGAGGCCCCAGTTCCAGCACTGTGGACTATTGAACGGTCAAAGTATACATGCATTTTTAGGATTTGAAGAATGGAAATAGCAGACCGGTGCCAAGTGAAACTGTATTAATCTGTTCATATAGGGCGGGGCAGTGCAGCAGTGAAGAAGTCTTGAAACTATTTTTTCCTAAGGGTGCTAAGTGATGATCTAGGAAGTGCCAGGGTTCCTGGGAAGAACTCTTCAAAACCATTGTAAAAAAGGCACTACTTGGTGGGAGCTGAGCTTCCCACCAGAAAGAGGCCTGGAGAGCCAGCATCTCCTGGGAATAAGCATCTAAGACATACATATATTTCTGGGTGGGACTCCCCAAAACAATTCAGTGGTGGCCAGCAACTGGGACTGAAGCAGGCAGAGGCACCAGCATCTTGATAACTAAAGACGATGGGAGCGCATTAACATTTAAGTGGTTGAGATGGTGAGTGGGAATAGTTCAGTGGGAAGCAAGGTCCCCACTCTAGCCAATGAGCCATACCATTGACCAAAAAGTAGGACACAAGAAGCCAAAATGGCTGTTTGGACCTCATGGTGCCCATGGACTTGAATTGTGGGTGGAAAAGGCCAATGGAAAAAAAACAATTTGGATTGCTACAGAAGACTTGAAGGGGCTGGCACCAATGTGTTTGTAAAGTATTGAGAATAGATAGAAAACAGGAATTACTGAACATGCATTAATTCAAACTACGTATATCTTAAGCATCCCTAACAACTGGTATATTATGTTACCTCTGTGTGACCACATAAATACACACCTTGGTTTCAGCAACCCTGTACAAACCCAAAGCAGAAAGCCAATACTTAAAGGATAGGTTTTATTCCCCTAGGTTACTCATGTGCATGAAATAGAGCCCCCTCTCCTCTCTTATTTCAAAATCTTATAAAAAACTATACTATTTTGTACCTACTCTGAACCATGTTGTATTTTTCTGTATTTACATATTAGTACCTTTAAAGTATAAATTGTCTTCACTTTGAGCTTCACAAAAAAGTTTGGAAGCCACCTTCAAGGGACTGGAGGTATAGCTCAGTGGTCCAGCACCTGTGTAGGCCCAAGGAATGGGGGGGGGTGAGTAAGATGGACTCTCTGACAATACAATTATGTGGAGTTAAATCTAAACTCCACATAATGTTTGGAAAGGAGGAGGGACAGCAGCAGGGGGCATAGGAGGCGAGAAAAGCACCCTGGATCAGAAAGTAGAAAGTCAAGCTCACTCACTGGGTTAGCTTCCTATCTTTCTCAATCACAAGGCTCTCTCTGCACTGTCAGGGGCATGTCAAGCTTCTCAGGGCCCCACTCTAGGCTGTTCCTTCCCCAGTTTCGTGCTTGAGTCAACCTTCAGTTCTTTCAGGTCTTTGCAGATTGCCCCTTCCAGGTGAGGTCTACTCTCACCAGTCTACCTGCTGACCTCCCCTCCCTTACAAACTGGCTGACCCCCAAGCTCTTGCCCTATTAATGTATTTTGTTCATTATCCTCTCTAAGTTCTTTCTAGATGGTATATATTTTCCTTGATTATGTTTGTTTTTAATTGTCTACCTCCCCAATTCCTTCCACTAGAATAAAGCTTTATGAGATTCAGAATCTGGTCTTTTTTTTTTTTTTAATTTGTCCCCAATTAGTGGATAATCTCACTTGCCACCAAGCTTGATGGCCTGAGTTTGTTTCCTGGGACCTTTGTAGTAGAATGACAAAACCAAAACCAAATCCTGGAAAGTTGACCTTTCTGACTTCTACACATATACCCTCTCTCTCTCTCTCTCTCTCTCTCTCTCTCTCTCTCTCTCTCTCTCTTGCTCTCTCACACACACAAATATATTTTAAAATGTAATACTTTTTATTTTATCATATTCCAGTGATCAAGAACAATTTTGCATTAGGTAGATATATTTTTGTTGAATTAATAAATGGAAAACATTCATATACATTCCCACTTTCATATCAGCAGGATCTAGGAATGTCTTAGAAACTTGTGGCTCTAACCACCATACTTTATGTGTGGGGAATCTGATGCATGGTGGGAGTTGAGGGCTAAGTATCTTCTAACAGCTATCACTGTGAAGGATTTGTAGAGGCAAAGACTATCTGCGGGTAGAAAGAAGTAAGTGTGCACTGTCTTGCTTTTGTTCCCTAGGTCAGCAGTTCCAACCTGTGCACATGGGTCACCTGAGACCATCGGAGAACACAGACATTTACATTATGATTCATAACAGTAGCAAAATTACAGTTATGAAGCAGCAGTAAAAATAATTTTATGGTGAGAGAGGTCACCCCAGCACGAGGAACTGCGTTAAAGAGTCATGACATTAGGAAGGCTGAGAACCACTGGTCTAGGTCCTCAGCATCCCTCAGGTGGTATCTGCCCAGAGGGACTGGATAGGAGCATAGTGAAAAACTACAACTCAAGTATAGAACGATGACAGGCATGAAAAGCATCACCAGTATAGAGCGGTACCCCTTGTTGAACATTCACTGAACTAGTATTTTCCAAGATTTTTATCTTAAGCTAATAATTCCAAATAGAGACACTAGGGCAGAAGTAAAGTCCGTTAATAAGCACACCTTCATCCTGTACAGAAATACATTTTAAAATCAAATCTTGAAGTTAGCCCACAAGGACCTGGAAAGATGGAAGACTCAGTGGAAAGAGCACTTGCTGCCCATGCAGAGGACCTGAGTTTGGTTCTCAGCGCCCACATCAGACAGATGATAACCGCTTTTAACTCCTGTTCCAGGGGATATGATGCCCTCTTCTGGCTGCCACAGGCTTCTACACACACACACACACACACACACACACACACACACACACACACAGAGGCACACAGGCACACAGGCACACATGCACGCACAAAATATAAATCTTTCTTAAAGGTTAGAGTACAAAGTAATGGATTTCATTATGATATTTTTCTTATTCTTTCTTAGTCATCCTCCTCTCCACTGCCCCCCCTTCCCTTCTCTTGTTGGTCCCTTTTGTCCCCCTTGGGCTTGCATAGTCTGGGCAAGCCCTCTACCATAGACCTTTATCAACCTCTCGGTCCCTTTTTATTTTGAGATGGGGTATCAGTGTGTTACAGAAAATGACCTCAACTGTCTCCTGCCTCAGTTTCCTAAGGAGGTAGGGTTGCAGGCCTGTGGCCAAGAAGTCCATTTATATGTATGCATATCTGCAAATGTCTGCCTATATGGTGGCTTTCCCACCATCTTTGTCTCTGACTTGAGAGGTAAACACTCTGTAACTAACTGCTGACTTTTTGTGCTGGTTCAAAGTCATCAAAGCAAGTCTTGAATGCCTGAGTCTCTCTGAAGTGCCTTGTAATGAGCTTATTGTTTGGCCAAAGGTAACTTGACATTCTCATTTCTAATCAATAGCTAGCTTTCAAAGCATTGTTAGATTTCAGTGGCTCTAATTGGGTCTCTAAATGTGTTCTGAGCTGATCTGTGAGTTGAAAGAGAAGCAAGCTTCTTTCAGATAGGTCAAATTTATTGGAAGTTGCTAACCTCTTCCAAAAAAAAAAAAAAAACTAAAGAGGAGTCAAAGTGACCCTAACCAGTTGGGGAAATAAAGTATGAGGGCTCAAAAGCCTAAGGGAACAGGTCTTGAAAGGAAAAAACAGTTCTTTAGGTAACACAGAAAAAAGAACTGACTTGAATAGAGGTCAGCAACCTAGCATGCTTGCCCTAGGAGTCACTCACCAAGAAAGTGTGTCATTGTGGAGTCACACAGGTCTGAGTTCCCACCTCCTCACGTGCAAGGTCTGAGCCAGACTCTCCTGCCTTTTGTAAACGGTTTCCTCATCTCTACAATTAAGACAATGGTGTCAGCTTTCCCAAGGTGTTTGTGAATGTCCCCTTGCCTGTGTCATGTCGCTTGGATCTCCATCATGGCTAGGGCTATCATTCTGCTTGTCCCACACCTTTGAGTGGCCTTTTTGCCCATCCGTTGTAATCACTCCTTTCCCTCCTTCAAAACTGAAGGGGGTTTCCAAGATGAAATTCATTTTATCTATTAACCCATCTAGTTTATGATGTACTTCCCTGTGCTCACTTATGAACACCATTTGTGCCTTTATAATTGCCTTTGAGTGTAATGGTTTCTCTGGAGGGTGAAATAATAAGTTTCTGGGAACAAAGCTACACCTTCTGTTCTACCAGTTGCCTCCGCTTCCCTCCATGCCTGTTATACTACCATGTCCAGGCAGATGTCCTCTAATAGAAAGATACAGGACCTGGTGATGGCCCAGTGGCTCACTGAGTGAAGTGCTCGCCTTACAAGGCTGAAGATCTGATTTTGAATCTACAGAACGCATACTTATGCTTACGGCTGCAGGAACCTACAATCCTAGTGCTCTTATAAGGAGTTGGAAGGTGAAAACAGGAGAACCCCGGGAAGTTCACAAGCCAGCTATCCTGGTGTACCCACCAGCAAACAGCCAAGAGACCCAGTCTTAAGCAACTTGCAAGGCAAAGACTAAGGCTTTGGCTTTCCCTTGGACCTATGGATGTACACCATGGCACACTCACTCTCATATGTGAATAATACATGTGATTGTAAACATATACATATTACACACGCACATACACACACAACTATCTGTTGTTGTTTTGAGACAGGATTCCTCTGTGTGCCCTGGCCCTGAACTTAAAGACCCGCCTGCCTCTCCCACCCAAGTGCTGGAATTAAAGGTGTGCACCACCACTGACTGACCTACACAACTAAATTTTTAAAAAGAAAGCTGCAGGGCCTACTAATGACCACCACTGCCAGGGCACACAAAACCCAGCATCCTTAACTATTCCCAGTAGAAAGAGTATGGATGTCAGAGAATGGCTACTGCCCCTAGTAAAGCCAGCAGAGAATAAAAGCAACTAACACAGAGCATCTACCCTTGGCTGCTTATTTTTCAATCCTATCAACAACTCTATGAGGTAGGAGTTGCTTTCTGTTCTTGTTTTTCATTTGTTGAAATAGGCCGTTGCTTTGTTGTTGGCCGGGAAATCATGTTCCTCTTGCCTCAGCTCCCCAAGTGCTGAGATCACAGGCACAGAGCACCACGCCTGGCATTATTCTCATTTTATGAATGAGAAACTGAAATTCTGAAAGGTCACACGAAAGGAAGGTACAAAGACAATGTTCTGCTCCCTTCAGGTCTAGTGCTGTTTCTGCTGGGTCAGAACTGCTGTGCCCGGAGTCACTGGAGAGAACATTTGACTAGTTGCACTCCTGGAATCTCTCTGGTTGCAGCCCCGGCACCACTGGATTTAGAGCTAGATTAACCTGGTCAAATGGCAGAACTGTGAGGAAAAAAATGGTATTTTAGAAGAGAAGCATGGATCCTATGTAGTTCATATGTGAATGTGACTATATATATATATATAGATATATCTATATCTATATATATGTATATATATATCCTTATATACTATAAATATACTGCATTCTACTATAGCATGATATACCTATATCTATATATATGTATATATATATATCCTTATATACTATAAATATACTGCATTCTACTATAGCATTAAAGTAAGATTTACTAAAAATGTCAACATGGTTGTTTACCAAATAGATGTTTAAGTTATTGGGTCCAATGATGTATTTCCAATCCTTTCTCAAAACATTTTGTTTTGGTTTGGTTTTTTAACAGGGTCTCTTTACTACACATTCCTGGTTTACTCACTATGTAGACCAGGCTGGCCTTGAACTCGAAGAGATCTGCCTGCCTCTGCCTCCTGAGTGCTGGGATTAAAGGCAATATTACCATACTGGCCTTAAAAACATTTTATTAAATTTAGAGAGAGAGAGAGAGAGACAGACAGACAGACAGACAGACACACAGATACACAGAGGTAGGGATGGAGAGGAAAAGCAATAGCTTATGTCATATATGGACATTAGAGGACAACTTGTGAGAATTTTTTCTCTCCTTTCACCATGTGGGTCCAGGGAATCAAACTCGAATTGTCAGGCTTAGTAGCAATTGCCTTTACCTGCAGAGCCATCTTGTCAGCTCTTCCAAGACTTTATTTTATAGGCAAGAAAAGAAACTATATTTCTAAAGCAATAGAGTTTTCTTTATTCTTCAGAGTAGAGATGATTGAGGTGTAGACCAGATCTAAGTGTGAAAGAAGAGAGCAATCCTGCCATCACGCACCAGCCTCGAGTGTGCTGTGCCCTGATGAGGCAGTCACTAATGCTGACTCCTGAGTATGAGGTCAAGATATTCCAGGCCATTGGTGCCTCCAGAATGGCACATCTCAGTTCTCTAGTGTTAATGCTGACAACTTGGTGGTGATCAGAAAAGCATTAGCCTTTGTTTGGTATCCTTCAGGGACTGGCCCAGTTCAGAAGCCATCCTGCATGTACTGAGCAGCTAAGAAAACAGCAGCCAAAAAGTTTTCTAAGTTCTTTTAAATTTTTAATTATTTATTTTTTGTGTATGAGTATTTTTCCTGCATGTTTGTCTATGCATCACATGTATGCAGTGCCCACGGGAGTCAGACGAGGGTGTTGGATACCCTGGATACCTATAGTCATTTGTGAGTGGTGGGTGCTGGAACTCAAACCCAGGTCCTCTGCAAAAGCAGTTAGTGCTCTTGATGACTGAGCCATCTCTTCAGCTCCGGAGATCCAAGTTCTTAAAGCCTGACTTGAATTTAAAAAGCCCCAGGTTGTAGGGTATAATGATGCATGCCTATAATTTTAAGGCAGGAAGATTACCAGGGCAAGACTAGGCTAGGCTACACAGTGAGATCTTGTCTCCAAACAAACAGAGTATCCGGTCATTTCTAGAGAACCCCACCACCCTTCTTCAGTTTTGTTTTTCAGTAATGGGGACTGATCCCAAGGCTTTATGATTTCCCATTGGGTGAAATGGGAGCAGGTGGATATGATCATATGTTGTTGTGCACATGCACAAAACTAAATAACATTTTAGAGGATTGTTTCAGAGAATCTAATATCTAGGCATCTATTTATTCTACCATTTGTCTTCATGTGTCTCCTCTTTCAGACTGTAACTTCCCTCCCCCTTTTAAATTTAAACTAGAAACCAGCTTCTATTACATGTCAATCCCAGTTCCCTCTCCCTCCCTCCTCCCCTGCCCCCCACTGACCCCCTGTCCCACCCCCTTTTTGCTCCCCAGGTCGGGTGAGGCCTTCCATGGGGGATCTTCAAAGTCTGTCATCATTTGGAGCAGGACCTAGACCCTCCCCTGTGTGTCTAGGGTGAGAGAGAATCTCTCTATGTGGATTGGGCTCCCAAAATCCATTCATGTACTAGGGATAAATACTGATCCATACCAGTAGCCCCATAGATTGCCCAGACCTCCAAACTGACATCCTTGTTCAGGGGGTCTAGAACAGTCCTATGCTGGTTTCCCAGTTATCATCCTGGGGTCCATGAGCTACCCTATGTTCAGGTCAGCTGCTTCTGTGAGTTTCTCTGGTTTTGACCCCTTTGCTCATCACTCCTCCCTCTCTGCAACTGGATTCCAGAATTCAGCTCAGTGTTTAGCTGTGGGTCACACTGTAACTCTTAGCCTTTTGAATATAAGTGTCTAAAGATCTGATCATTGTCAAATAAGAAGTATTTATGCAGTAGAGCTACACTGGACATCAGGTGTGGCGGCAGAGCACTGTCCCCTTATCTGGGCTTGAGTTTCTCCAAGACTCAACGCCTCTCAGCCAGGCTGATCACTTAGGTAAAGTGATTGAAGGTGTGTGCCCTTAAGAGGCACATTGGTGGAGGCTGACCTGTCCCAAATCTTCTATTTGTAACAGACGCTTTATCTAATTAGCAAAATCTCCACGGTTACCTCTCTGTTCCCCTGTGGACAGGTTGCTGGTGGTGAGTGGGACGTGTGTGCTGAGGATTGAACCCAGGTCCTCATGCATGCTTAGTGCCTGCTTATGTCTACCACTGAAATACATGCTCAGCCCCATGCCTAGCAACCATGCCTCTCATTTTGACTAATTTTTACAACTTCGAGCTTTGAGAAGTAAACCTTTACCTGTTGGGCTAAAGTTTGACCTCCAGGAACTTGGAGTTAGGTGTGGTGGAGAATGCCTGCAGTCCTGACACTTGACAGACAGAAGCAGGAGGATCAAGATCTACACAGAGAGGTCTAGGCCAGCCAGGGCGACATAGTGAGAACTTTGTCTATGAGGTGGGGCAGGGAGGCTGAAGAATGTTTATATTCCAAAGCTATTCTCTTTTCTCAGGACACACTGGTGCTTAGAGGGCTGAATCTTGAATAAAGGGTAGTGGCATTGTTTAAGTTTAACTGTTATAAACCCTTCACTTGGGAGGCAGAGACAGGAGGATCAGTAGTTCAAGGTCATCCTCAACTACATAGCAAGGGGTCAACCTGGGCTACAGGAGAGCCTGTCTCAAACAAACAAAACAAATGACCCGAGCTTCAAATATAGATCAGCAACAACAGTCCAATTTCCTTTAGTAGGGGAAGGAGGGAGTCTCTCTCTCTCTCTCTCTCTCTCTCTCTCTCTCTCTCTCTCTCTCTCTCTCTCTCTCTCTCTCTGTGTGTGTGTGTGTGTGTGTGTGTGTGTGTGTGATAATCATCATGATCTCTCTAGCATGGTGGTACTCGCTTGTAATCCCAACATTCAGGAAGTGGAAGCAGGAGAATCCAGAGCTAAAGGCTAGCCTGGATTATGTAGGTGAGACTCCATAAGTAAAAAAACAAAAGGAGGGAGGGAGGGAGGAAGGGAAGAAGGGAGGGAGAGAGGGAGCTTGAACTTTTAAATTCTAACTGTATTGAATTTGTGTAATATGTTGCAACCGACACATGATTCGACATTGTGCTGGTGATTTGTGCCTCTTCTTGTTTTGGCGGCATAGATTAAGTGATTATGCCTGCCTGAATGTCCTATTAAAGTGTATAACCCACGTTCACTTCCTCTATAGAGTCCATGCCCTCCTTTATTTGTGATTAGAATAGAGTCACCCATGTGCGGTGCCTGTATGCAGGTGGTTTTTGAATCCTTTTGGCTCCTGAAGTCACCGTTGCTTGTCCGATGGCACCCGGTGCTCTTCCATCTCTGTGGCTGTCCCCATTTTAGCTGTTAGGTCTTGGCCTTTCCTTTGCACTTCCCTCCCGCTTGTTTTAACAGTGTTTCAAACTCAGAAGCCCTATTTGACCATTGACAAGGCTGCACCCCCCACTCTGGTTTCCCAGTTTTGTACACCGCAGGTATAGGGTCGTGGGGTGTGCACCGAGTCAGTACAGAACCCTGCTCCTCCAAGCTGAGAAGAGGGCGTGTTGCCTGGGCTAGGGTGGGGCACCGGGTTATGAATGGCCTCCAGCTTTTGGGTTTGCTTCTCCGCAGGGGACACCGTAGGCGG